CATTGTATATAACCTTCTTACTTTGTGTAACATTATTGCGAAGAAAAACTAAGACACTTCGAGCATCAGCTTGAGATGTAGTAGCAACAGCTCCCAATGCAACACCGCCAATCAACCAGCAGCATCTACTATAAGACCTAAAGTTGCTGTAATACTTTTCTTGTCTTCCTCCACTTTTTATGGCTGAACATTGATCAATTAAAAGCATAAACCAAGTACTAAACTAATTCCAATTAAAGTATGTAAATTGCCTGTAAAAAAAGAAAAAAGAACAGGAATACTATTAATTAGATGTTAATTTCATGAAATGTGGCAATCAGTAAACATGCAATTGCATACTATATGAACCTTTTCCAGTTTAGTAATACCATCCACAGTAAATAATGCTCTTACACCCTCAGGTATAGTCAGGTATAATCGCTAGCGCAGTACCAACAAGGAGTCCTGCTCCTAATATTGAAACTAATTGTAACTTGTCCTATGGAAAACATATTGCACGTAAATTACAAGATACAATGAATTCTGATATACACCTATTATATACATACATAATTTTATATTACATAAAATATTCTTCTTCACTTCTGTATCTTACTTCTTCTGATAAATTTATTTAACTTAATGGCAGTGATCCAGCTCCAAGACAAGATCCAACAAACATAACAAGAGAAAGCATCCATAGCATTGCTCTCTCCTCCATTTTTATTTAATTATTTAATACTGATGGCAATTTATCTTTAATTTTTAACATTATTATACACATCAATATATATAATATACATCTTAGACATTATGACATTAGGTATTTGACTAGCAATATTAAATTATAAATTTGCAATTATATATATTGATCTATGATGTCAATGTAATAATTTTTTCGACAGATCAAAATATAAGTAAGATATTCGATGATTTATATACAATAATCATTGAATCGATTAATTAAACCACAAAGGTCGACAAGATCGACAGTACCAGGTATCTTCAGACCAGGTGATTCCTACATCTCGGAGCATAGACGTACGTTACATATACAGATGGAGCGTTATATTTATTACATAAAAGGACCGTCTACAATGGAGGAACAAAGGTGCAATTTCATTGTCGCTAAAAGGTAGCGTCAACCATTGGTTGAACAAAGAAGTAAGTAGTTGCTTCATTGTTCAACCAATGGCTGACGCTACGCATTTTAGCGCCAACGAAATTTAAACCTTTAAACCTTTAAATTTGCAATTTCGCGCATGTTCGGCAGTCCTCGCGCCTGATTGGGAGCTTTCACGTATGAGCGGCAGTTCTCGCGCCTGATTGGACGTCTTCGCGCGTCCGCGGCAGGCCTCGCGCCTGATTGGGAGTCTTGGCGGCGCGCGCGGCAGTTCTCGCGCCTGATTGGACGTCTTCGCGCACGCACGGCAGTCCTCGCTCCTGATTGGGAGTCTTCGCGCGTCCGCGTCCGTTCTCGCGCCTGATTGGCGCGTGCAGTCTTGCGCGGCAGTTCTGAATGTTTTAAATATATATACAAGTGTTATTTGTACATATCGATAGGAAATATATACACAAACAACATTCATTCTTTAAAAAAATATCTAAGATTAGTACCCGCATTTTCTATTGTTTCTCTATAATATATATTGGTTAATCTATCTTGTGCACTGTATGTTATTTCATTACAATCGGTGTATGTTAAGGAAAAATTACGTAATTTAATAACAGAAATATTGGGCAAATAAATAATATATAAATGATTTTACTCGTTAAATAATTAGTACAATTGCTTCTAATGCATCTGTTCTAAATCGTAAAGCATTTTCTTCCAACTTGCACCATTATATGCTTTGCATACATATATTTACAACAATTGTATATTGCAGAGATTGCGTCTCGACAGTTTGGATATCTGCAAGCATACTGTAGCAAGAAGAGTAATTTTATGCAACTTCATTATATAAACTTTACATCAAATTTGTTTCTATAATATAAAACAAAATACTAACACATTTTATTTAAGTATTTGCTCTAAATTATGTCATTCTGTAGAGCAAGTATCATAAATGTTTAGATATATCAGTATATGGTTACGCTATTGTGCATCAGCAGGAACATTTTTTCCTTTCAGATAATAAATGTTTCTATTAAACAATACGCATATGTATAGAGCAAAAGAAACAAGTATAGTGCGCATATGGGTGTAACAGTATGTGTACACATCTTGCGATACATTCCATATACTCTTTAACAAAATTAAAATATTAATTTGTATAATAGGAAGAAATAATATGTAGGCAAGATAATGAAATCTTTATGTAACGTAATGTAACAATATTATATTAATTAATAAGTAATCTTGAAAAATGTACTGTAAAACGATTATTTTGAAGAGTTTTTAAAACAAGTAGGTTCTCCAATCAGTTTCAATCTATTCTAGTTAAAAATATCAGCAGATCATCTATTTCAATGATTTTAGATATATTATAGAAAGGAAAATACTGAATAGCCTTTAATAAACATTAAATATTATTTATTTTTAATTTCGAAATTGTCAGTAGATATATATAGAGAATTAAAGTCCTTTAATAGAAAGTCGCTCTAAATTGTTGGATGTTTTATGATACAAAGTAAGGTCCAAGATTTTCAGCTTAAAAATAAATTCAAAATTATATTCATACTACTTGATACAAGTTTTATTTGTATTATTACCAAAATTGCAAATATTTAAATTAAATTTAGATGAGATTATGAGCAATATGACCATACACATTAATTTTACGTTAATATTAGTATTCTCATATTCTGTACTTATTTAAACAAATTAATTTTAATAAAAACTTTAATTTATTTGTTTAATTAATTATAATTATTATCTATTTGAAATAAATTGGCAATCTTAAAGTTTTTTCTTTTTAAGTGACAAGAAAAGGATATAATTCGTAAAAGTGCCCTTATTCAAATATAAGATTTACTATACTAATGTAATATTTCCATACAATATTGTTACATAAACTTTGTGTAGAAATATCTTTAGAATATATATAAAGAGTTATTATGGCGAACATAGCTTACATTACTCACTCACATTACTTTTCCAATTCCAAAATATGTCACAAGTGCAAGACACGGTGCCGCAAGAGAGAAAATTAATAAGTGTCTGCTTATTTTCTTACTTTCTATCTACACCTTCATGAAGAAGAAATTGACACAAGTCCAAATGCATCTGGCGCCTATAAAATATAATTTAATGTTCAGCGATAAAAAAAATTGATAAGCTAATTATATTAACTTACATATTTTATAAGCGCTTGTTAATTCATTTCTGAAACATTGTATATAACCTTCTTACCTTGTGTAACATTATTGCGAAAAAAAACTAAGACACTTCGACATCAGCTTGAGATGTAGTAGCAGCAGCTCCCAATGCAACACCGCCAATCAACTAGCAGCATCTACTATAAGACCTAAAGTTGCTGTAATACTTTTCTTGTCTTCCTCCTCTTTTTCTGGCTGAACATTGATCAATTAAAAGCATAAACCAAGTACTAAACTAATTCCAAGTTAAAGTATGTAAATTGCCTGTAAAAAAAGAAAAAAGAACAGGAATACTATTAATCAGATGTTAATTTCATGAAATATGGTAATCAGTAAACATGCAATTGCACTATACTACTATATGAACCTTTTTCATTAGTAATACCATCCACAGTAAATAATGCTCTTACACCCTCAGGTATAGTCAGGTATAATCGCTAGCGCAGTACCAACAAGGAGTCCTGCTCCTAACTGATTGAAACTAATTGTAACTTGTCCTATGGAAAACATATTGCACGTAAATTACAAGATACAATGAATTCTGATATACACCTATTATATACATACATAATTTTATATTACATAAAATATTCTTCTTCACTTCTATATCTTACTTCTTCTGATAAATTTATTTAACTTAATGGCAGTGATCCAGCTCCAAGACAAGATCCAACAAACATAACAAGAGAAAGCATCCATAGCATTGCTCTCTCCTCCATTTTTATTTAATTATTTAATACTGATGGCAATTTATTTTTAATTTTTAACATTATCATATACATCAATATATATAATATGCATCTTAGACATTATGACATTAGGTATTTGACTATACAATATTAAATTATAAATTTGCAATTATATATATTGATCTATAATGTCAATGTAATAATTTTTTCGACAGATCAAAATATAAGTAAGATATTCGATGATTTATATACAATAATCATTGAATCGATTAATTAAACCACAAAGGTCGACAAGATCGACAGTACTTCAGACCAGGTAACTCCTACATCTCGGAGCATAGACGTATTACGTATATACAGATGGAGCATTATATTTATTACATAAAAGGACCGTCTGGAGGACAACGGAGGAATAAAGGAAGATAATTTCATTGTCGCTAAAAGGTAGCGTCAACCATTGGTTGAACAAAGAAGTAAGTAGTTGCTTCATTGTTCAACCAATGGCTGACGCTACATTTTAGCGCCAACGAAATTTAAACCTTTAAACCTTTAAATTTGCAATTTCGCGCATGTTCGGCAGTCCTCGCGCCTGATTGGACGTCTTCGCGCGTCCGCGGCAGTCCTCGCGCCTGATTGGGAGTCTTGGAGGCGTGCGCGGCAGTTCCCGCGCCTGATTGGACGTCTTCGCGCACGCACGGCAGTCCTCGCTCCTGATTGGGTGTCTTCGCGCGTCCGCGTCCGCTCTCGCGCCTGATTGGCGCGTGCAGTCTTGCGCGGCAGTCCTGAATGTCCTAAATATATATACAAGTTTTATTTGTACATATCGATAGGAAATATATACACAAACAACATTCATTCTTTAAAAAAATATCTAAAATTAGTGCCCGGATATTCTATTGTTTCTCTATAATATATATTGATTAACTATCTTGTGCACTCTATGTTATTTCATTACAATCGGTGTATGTTAAGGAAAAATTACGTAATTTAATAACAGAAATATTGGGCAAATAAATAATATATAAATGATTTTATTCGTTAAATGCTTAGCACAATTGCTTCTAATGTATCTGTTCTAAATCGTAAAGCATTTTTTCCCCAACTTGCACCATTATATGTTTTGCATACATATATTTACAACAATTGTATATTGCAGAGATTGCGTTTCGACAGTTTGGATATCTGCAAGCATACTGTAGCAAGCAGAGTAATTTTATGCAACTCCTTCAATTATATAAACTTTACATCAAATTTGTTTCTATAATATAAAACAAAATACTAACACACTTTATTTAAGTATTTGCTCTAAATTATGTCATTCTGCAGGGCAAGTATCATAAGTGTTTAGATATATCAGTATATGGTTACGCTTTTGTGCATCAGCAGGAACATTTTTTCCTTTCAGATAATAAATGTTTCTATTAAACAATACGCATATGTATATAGCAAAAGAAACAAGTATAGTGCGCATATGGGTGTAACTGTATGTGTGCACATCTTGCGATACATTCCATATACTCTTTAACAAAATTAAAATATTAATTTGTATAATAGGAAGAAAAAATATGTAGGCAAGATAATGAAATCTTTATGTAACGTAATGTAACAATATTATAATATTAATTAATAAGTAATCTTGAAAAATGTACTGTAAAACGATTATTTTGAAGAGTTTTTAAAACAAGTAGGTTCTCCAATCAGTTTCAATCTATTTTAGTTAAAAATATCAGCAGATCATCTATTTCAACGATTTTAGATATATTATAGAAAGGAAAATACTGAACAGCCTTTAATAAACATTAAATATTATTTATTTTTAATTTCGAAATTGTCAGTAGATATATATGTGAGAATTAAAGTCCTTTAATAGAAAGTCGCTCTAAATTGTTGGATGTTTTAGATACAAAGTAAGGTCCAAGATTTTTAGCTTAAAAATAAATTCAAAATTATATTCATATTACTTGATACAAGTTTTATTTGTATTATTACCAAAATTGCAAATATTTAAATTAAATTTAGATGAGATTATGAGCAATATGACCATACATATTAATTTTACGTTAATATTAGTATTCTCATATTCTGTACTCATTTAAACAAATTTATTTTAATAAAAACTATAATTTATTTGTTTAATTAATTATAATTATTATTTATTTGAAGTAAATTGGAAATCTTAAAGTTTTTTCTTTTAAGTGACAGGAAAAGGATGTAATTCGTAAAAGTGCCCTTATCCAAATATAAGATTTACTATACTAATGTAATATTTCCATACAATATTGTTACATAAACTTTGTGTAGAAATATCTTTAGAATATATATATAAAGAGTTATTATGGCAAACATAGCTTACATTACTCACTTTTCCAATTCCAAAATATGTCACAAGTGTATGTCACAAGACACGGTGCCGCAAGAGAGAAAATTAATAAGTGTCTGCTTATTTTCTTACTTTCTATCTACACCTTCATGAAGAAGAAACTGACACAAGTCCAAATGCATCTGGCGCCTATAAAAAATAATTTAATGTTCAACATGATAATAAAAATTGATAAGCTAATTATATTAACTTACATATTTTACAAGGGCTTGTTAATTCATTTCTGAAACATTGTATATAACCTTCTTACTTTGTGCAACATTATTGCGAAGAAAAACTAAGACACTTCGACATCAGCTTGAGATGTAGTAGCAGCAGCTCCCAACGCAACTCCGCAGCATCTACTATAAGACCTAAAGTTGCTGTAATACTTTTCTTGTCTTCCTCCACTTTTTCTGGCTGAACATTGATCGATTAAAAGCATAAACCAAGTACTAAACTAATTCCAAGTTAAAGTATGTAAATTGCCTGTAAAAAAAGAAAAAAGAACAGGAATACTATTAATTACATGTTAATTTCATGAAATATGGTAATCAGTAAACATGCAGTTGCATACCACATGAACCTTTTTCATTAGTAATACCATCCACGGTAAATAATGCTCTTACACCCTCAGGTATAGTCAGGTATAATCGCTAGCGCAGTACCAACAAGGAGTCCTGCTCCTAACTGATTGAAACTAATTGTAACTTGTCCTATGGAAAACATATTGCACGTAAATTACAAGATACAATGAATTCTGATATACACCTATTATATACATACATAATTTTATATTACATAAAATATTCTTCTTCACTTCTATATCTTACTTCTTCTGATAAATTTATTTAACTTAATGGCAGTGATCCAGCTCCAAGACAAGATCCAACAAAACATAACAAGAGAAAGCATCCATAGCATTGCTCTCTCCTCCATTTTTATTTAATTATTTAATACTGATGGCAATTTATTTTTAATTTTTAACATTATCATATACATCAATATATATAATATGCATCTTAGACATTATGACATTAGGTATTTGACTAGCAATATTAAATTATAAATTTGCAATTATATATATTGATCTATAATGTCAATGTAATAATTTTTTCGACAGATCAAAATATAAGTAAGATATTCGATGATTTATATACAATAATCATTGAATCGATTAATTAAACCACAAACGTCGACAAGATCGACAGTACTTCAGACCAGGTAATTCCTACATCTCGGAGCATAGACGTATTACGTATACAGATGGAGCATTATATTTATTACATAAAAGGACCGTCTGGAGGACAATGGAGGAATAAAGGAAGATAATTTCATTGTCGCTAAAAGGTAGCGTCAACCATTGGTTGAACAAAGAAGTAAGTAGTTGCTTCATTGTTCAACCAATGGCTGACGCTACATTTTAGCGCCAACGAAATTTTAAACCTTTAAACCTTTAAATTTGCAATTTCGCGCATGTTCGGCAGTCCTCGCGCCTGATTGGG